ATCTAAACATTAGTCAGCAGGGCATTATACGCTTCATACAGCGGGCTTACAGCCAGCAGGAGCTGGTTGATATCCATACATGCAACATTGCGGGAGCGGGTTGATAGCCAACTCCAAACGGTCAGTGGTTTTTTAACGACTCTCCGCTGGGCACCACAGAATACTCGTAAACGGACATGGCGATGAAAGAGGTAGACTGTGTTAAGTATCTTGGAACAGTCGTGGTTAATTATGGCGGTACTGATATCAAACTAAACCGGAGTGTTGAATTGGAATCGGCAGATTTCGGCAAGCTGTATGAAGTATGGAAAGATCTAGTTGTAGTAATGACCATGAAGATCGTCATCTTGAGAGCAGCCATTTTGGCTGTGCTTTTATAGAGTCCTCGAAACTCGTTTCGACGACTTCTGACTGCACTGTTTCTGAAGTGTACTCAGAGTACGATGGTACAGTCAAACCAAGAGCGAGCAGATACTGATGACCGGGGATCTGAGAAACCTGGTCAGAACCCAGAGACCGTTGTCTGTTGGTTTGATTAAACGGCCAAAAAGAAGAATAGAAATGTTTCCGAAACATTTCTCTGGTTTGAACCGTCCACTAGCCACAGTCGTGTTGAAGGGCAGTACAAATCATGGAAACGCCTCGTTGAGATTGAACAAGGTTATGAATTTTTCAGCGATATTAGTATAATATTAATCGGCAATACCATTTCTAGCGGTAAGAAATAATAAATCCGGACTACTCTGCTGTTTAAATTTTGTAAACTTCATTTGAACTCATGACTGTTTCGTGCCATACAAGCGCAGACTGATCGTTTATGTGTCATATGAGAACGAATACACAACACGTCCGTGTTCAGTAGTAAGCAAAGCAAGACTGTGATCGTTTGCTGTTTGCCTTGAGGAAGACCACTATTTCATGATGCGCAAGTAACACAGATGCGTTAAATAAAAACTTTTATAACTCTAAATTTTTCCATAGCCCTTTCAGGGTAATTTGCATTAAGACCGAATTTACAGAAGTCGGTGTCGGTATTATTATACATAATGCGAGCTTCTTTATTGTAAAACGGTTATTTTTATTTTTCTGTTCAAGGAATAATAAAACAAAAAATATTCCTTTGTCCAGCTTAACCAAAACGAAAGTTCGCAATC